AGTATTGGGATCCCAGTCTGGCCTACTAGGTGCGAGAAATAATGATATTGTCCATGTTCGTACCTGCAGGTATTAGAATCTATAAAACAAAACATCTTTCAATTATTTGTTAATCTCATCAAGATTTCTATGAATCCTAACCCATTATCTGACTCGGTGTCCAAAGAAAACAGAGTAAAGCATGAAAACAAAAGTGTATATGTTTTACAATACTATCAGTTATATAATCATGTGATATTTTTTTCTCACTGGGTCCAATTTTCATTCACTTCACATAGTCAACTCTTACAATTAATTTCTCTGCACCTTCTTCTCAAGTTTCATCCCTATCTTCTTCCCAAATTCATCTTTCTTCATCTCTATAAATCCCTTAATCTTCTTAGTGTGCCATACCAGGAGTATGTATCTTGTGGGAGTTCAGTTTCCAGTATATGAAGATGTTTCTATGGGACAAGGGGGAAATTATGGGTTTTAAAAGATTTGTAATTTTTCCTGATTTGAATGGTTTTAAAGAAAGGCTAGGTTTGACTTTACAGTCAGCTCCTCCTTGCAGTTCCCCTGTTTTGAGTTCTCCCCCAAACTGGAGAAAAAGTAAGGTTTCTAACCAAAGGATTGTCAGGTATTTTTTTTAATAAGAAAGTCATCATAGGGTACCCAGTTTTAACTGAAGCTTTAATGTGGGTAGATGGCAGGATTTCGAAGCCTGGAAAGAACAGCTTTAGAAACGGGTCCACTACAGCGGCAGCCTTCCCGGGGCTGAGCGAAGTAGAAAAACAACAGCTACTTGTGTTTTTTATTGTACGGGTTCTCCCTGAGTTGTGTAATTTCCCCGACCCACACGGCCCCATTTGGAACCGTGCTGTCTCCCCTTCCCGATCGCGGACTCCGCCTCTGCATAAGCAGGTAGGCTGTCTCACCTGCCTCTCCGCAGTCCCTGGTTCTGTTACTGGAACATGGTCCTCCTGTATCCTCCATTGGTCAGTAGAGCCCTCAAGCCACTCCCTTTTCCCTGGACCTTGACCCAATCACGTTCCATCTTCTTGCCCTCCCCTCGAGCCCATATAAACAGTGGGAGTTTCGAAATAAAGGCCTTTTCGCCTTGGAACTCAGAGAGAAAACTTGGTCGCTCCCTCCCTGCCAAAAAGGGGACCGCACGACTGAGTTCTCCAGGAAACCTCTAGTAGAGAGTCCACAATCAAGATCCGTTACTTTAAAACAATATTTAATTGCATAAAGATCAATGAAGGTACAAGTAATTGAAACAAGTTGTGATAATGGTAAATATTGCAGAATTGTCACCCTAGACCACCTGGCCTATCCACAGCACAGCACTCCCTAATGAAAGGGACCTGGGTGCTCTCCCTGGTCATCAGGATTGTTTGGATCAGCAAATGTTCCACTATTGTAGGCAGTTTATTTTTAATGTTTTCCCAGTTGAGACTTCTACTGCTTTCCTGGAGAGAGTATGCTTTAGTCTTAGGAATCATAAATACTGGAGCTGAAGTTTGCACAGGTACTTCTTCAAGGCCATATATCCAGACCATATATCAAAGTCTTTTTTTGTCCACATGCACTTGAGTTACATGTTGTTCTTGTGTTATTCTCAAGGTACACTGACTATCTGAATGTGCTGGAATTTTATGCTGTTCTTACCTCACCTCGTTATGACATTCACATTCTTTCAAGTTCTCCTTTAAAAAGAATTTTGTTCACCTGTCTTCAGCTCAAGACTCTTTCCACCATGCTGTGGGTGGGCAGGCATGTTTCAGGCATTTACGTGTGCGTGTGACCCTTGATGTTCGAGGAGGAATCATACTCTGGGTAAAATGACTGTCAGGCTCTCCTGCCTCTTGTCTTTTATGAATTTAGGGCAATGGTACCTGCTGTAGACCATACCCCAGATCTGCTTCTTACTTGACTACTCTGGAGCTATTAGAAGGGTGGTAGATGCTAAGAGATGTCATAAGTTCAAAAGAAAATTGGTCCCAAAGTAAAAGCCACCTAAGTGTGCTATATACAGTGGCTGGCGGACAACTACTGGCCTAGAGAGTCCTGAAACAAACAACGCTTGGCTTGATATTGTAAATGCAAGGAAAAGCCCTATGCTACAAAAACTTTTAATTTTTTATTATTCTTTAAAGATTACTTTCAAATTTTCCACTCATTAATATCTTTTGCTAATAAGTTGTTCTGTGAGATGTATAACTGCTAAATAATTCTTTACTTATTCTGTCCCTGTCTTCACCAGTCCTTTGCAGAGCTGTAGTTAAAGGCATTATTATTCTATTTACTATCACAAACGTAAGTTATTTTGAAATAATTCTACTCTGCTCTTGAGAGAGAAAAGCCTCATAGCACATTTTTTCATGTCTTTGATCACATCAGATTTTGATGTGGCTCATTGATTTATGACATATTTTCCCTTGCTCTTCTTTGTCCCTCACTGCTATCTTGTAGTTTTTTGCAGTCAAACCTAGCTACTCTTTTGTTCACTTCAGGCAGTTTTTTATTCTAGTTGTTCATAATTTTAATATTTTCAGTAACTAGCCCATAGGCTTCTTTACCATGTTTGCTCAGTCAGTATTTTTTTTTAGCATTAGCAAGTTCTGTGTCCATATTGAACAGCTTTCTAGCTTATTGGTATATTAGGTGGACAACATTAGTTTAACTGGTTAGACTTGTGACACAAAATCACAATTCAGACAAAAGCCTTGCTTATGGTAATAAATACTTATGTATTTCCTTCTAAAATTGTCATTGTTGATTTTTTTTTCTGTCATCACATTTTTTTGCATGTAGTGCAGTTTTAGTAAATTTAGGATTTTGATTCAGGTCTAAATTAAAAGATCCTGCTAAACTAGCTTGAAATTCTCCATTAAAAATAGTAAGATATGTCCTTAAGGTAAAGACAATATTTTCTTACATTTTTAAACATCTCTCTAATTATTTGAAGGCAGACTGTGTCTAGCTTTTTAAATTTTGATGTACCAAGAGAAGATTAGTGTATCTATATTCATATAACTCAAAAAATCTATCTATCCTTTTTTCTCATCCAGCTGCCCCAGAATTCTCTATGCTACTGCAGAGTTGTTACACTTAAAATCTTGCTTATGGGCATAAGCAGTAAGCACACCTTTTATGTATGTAGAGCTAAAAAATTATTAATATTACTAAAAGTGAAGCATTATTAGTCCAGATCTCATTGTTTAAAAAAGAAAAATAATGCAGTTAAAATGTTTGTATAAATACCTGCTAGTGCCTACTCCTTCCTCCCAGTGTTAGGCTGATGTCTCCACTGCTCCTCTGGGTGCTGAGCTTGGGGTTTCACATTGGTGGCAGTGGTGAAATGTCAGTGAATTGTCAGCCTCTGTAGTCTTTCAGTGTGAGGAATGCAATATTTGTGGTGATCCTTACTCTAGGATCAGTTTGGGTAATTTCTATGTGTCTGCCAACACCTTTCTGCACCTTTGCTTTGTCTTCATTGTTCTGTAGTTTCATATTGCACCAATTTACTATACACGGTGTTTTTTATGTATATTAGATACTATTTCTTTGTTATCTCTAAAACCAGTTCTGTCCAGCTCCAGGTCTACAATCATCATGTTAATCATAAGGACGACTCTGCAAAGAATAACTGCTTGTTACTGCTACCCGTGTAAAACTATGATTCTACTATACAAAGAAAAAGAAAAAAACCTAAATGTAGACACCTGGTGCCCTTCCTGCTATTCCAACTTGATTTCCTGTGGTGATGCTCTTAGCAACTAGTTCAGCTGGGTTAAAAGCCTTCCAGAAGATGAGAGAATGAAACATGGACATAGATATATTGTATCTGACAGTCAAATATGTACAATTCTGACACAAACTAAAATCGGGAAAGATTCTCCTCGCACCCCCTCCCCTAAAAAAATAAAAATAAAAATTTAAAAAAAAAAAAAAAGAAAAGGAAAAGGCTGTGGAAATATGAAGACATGCACAGACAGTGGATTGTGCAAGTCTTCTGCAGAGAAACTTCGAGCACAATGAATTTCCTTGTCCTTAGGGGGTTGTATGCTAAATGGAAGATCTGGAAGGTTTTTTGAAAAGCAATTTGCACACAGTGACCTGGAGAATTCTTTAAAATAATATTTTTTCCCTCTTTAAAAGAAATTTAATGTTTTTTACTTTTATTTAATTGTCCTGTGATTCTACTGTAAGAAACCCAACAATCCTCCTAATCCTGTTGCATTTATGATTTCTTCTTGTATACATAGTTCAATACAATTATGAAGAGATAGCTCAGGATGTTTTGCATACTAATTGACAACTGCTGAAGTAGAACTTAAAAGTTTTAAACAATTTAAATCAAGTAATAATAAATATTATTATCACATATATTATTTTCTTATCATCTCCATAGTGTAATTATAGGTATATAAAGCCTTAAATAATAGCAGAAAGCTTTATGGCTTATTGTTAAACATAAAGACAATTTTTAATATGTCATAGTAAGGCATTTTGATGAGACCCATGAAGTATTCTGGAGAAACATACTGTTTTGCCATTTCATTGATCTAAGGTGGCAGATGGAAGTCTTGTCATCTGCAGTACCACCTCATTTCAAAGAGAATATATTAACAGATATGGAGTATGGCAATTTTTAATGTAAATAATGCTTTCCCTTTCTGAAAGAGCCCATTTACAGTTTTGAGGCCATTAGACTTCTGTCCTGGCTTCTTCAGCACTGCAATTCTGCAATAGGATTTGAGAGTCAGTTTGAGACTGACAATTAACTTCTTGCTTGTGTTGCAAAGCTTCCTTTTATATTCCTGTAAAACTGAACAAATGACTGCCCCTAATGCTATGCTCATCAGCTAGTAAGTGGAGGCCATTTAAGGCAGAAATGTAGGATTTAGCTCCAGCTGCTGTTCTAATGTTGCAGAAAGCTTTTGCTGCAGTTCATTAAATTCAACTTCAGGCAGTCACAAAACTGCCAGCTAATTATATTTTTCTTTCCTCAGCTAAGTGAAACCTGGTGTCACCAATTTCCACTCACAAAATGGAGCTACAGAATCCTGCATTCTGAAGACTGAAGAAACAAAGCAGTGAGGAAGCAACCAACATAATTCTTATAAAAAGAGGTAAGACTGAACCAGTGAAACTTTATTTCCTACCAATTTGTCAGACTACTTTGGTAGTTAGACTCTGTGTGGGACATTGTTTCTTTGCTAGTAGGTCATACAGCCTTTATTAATAACTGTTTATGTTTTTGGGACTAATAATCAGATTGGGAATGCAGGTTATGTGGGTTCAGCTCTCTGGTCGAAAAGGAGCAGACCTGCAGCTGACAGGTCTGCAGTACTTAGTACTCTGCAGTACTAAGTACATGGGATGTTTTAGTCTCTATTATGTTGGTACAAATCAAATTAAATAATGAGCATTTCTTTCATTTGTGCAATATTGAAACTAAAAGTGAGATTCAAAGTTGAAAGATACCTGTATGGAGATGCCCCTTCTGACCTTAAGTACAGAATATCTACCTGAACACAGCTCTGTGTTAACACATGTATGATGCTGCACACCTCTGATAAACTGTTTTAACATATCTCAAGATCATCTGTACTACCCTTGATTTTAAGTTGTTGGTACAGCTTAAAGTAACTAAAACCAGAACATTCATGTGTGTTTAGAATAAGTAACTAAAGTCAGACATCCATGTGTGTTTAGAATAACACTCAGAAACAGAAAATGTGAATAACCTCCTGCCATGGAGCTGCTCATGGGAATAGGGGTTTTTGTTGACTCTCGTGGTGATTTACTCTTTAGGGACTTCACAAACAGAGAACATTTCCAAGCTAGTCCATCAAGCTTTCATCTCAGAATTCTTGGACAAATAATAGATAGTGAGAATTTGAGCTTCTGTAAATCATTGTTTATTGTCATATCACAGTCAGGATTTCAAAGAGGGACTTCTCCTTTCTGCTGTAATTGTACACACAGAACAGAGACCTCTTACTATGCTTTTACAATTAAAATTAACAAATATACAAAATGAGCATAACAACGGAACAGTATAGAAAAGTGTGAAGTAACAGCAATAGAATGGTATAGTTAATATATGTAGAATTGAGTATCTTCAAGGTTTCTAAATACATAGCTGTAACTTTCGTTGGAAGAAGAGAGGAAAAATGATTTCAGCCTCAAAATTCCCGTTTTAAATATGCATATTTTTGCTTTTGACAGCATGTCTTCAAATACTTGTAAGTTGTCAACTGGTAACTATTGTTGTCTAACTGTATCTTAAGAGTGAGAAGACACATCAAAAGAAAATTAAAGCTATGATAGCAATCTGTGCAAATCAGAAAAGTTCCACATAAGGATGAAATCCAGCATTTGTGTCAAGAACCAAGACACAATGAGGACACAGGAAGAAAGACATTAAGGGAGTTGGGTTTAGAGTATGAAAGCAAGACACAATATGTCACCGTTGTCTTTCTATGACAGTTTTCATATTTTTTATATGACACAGGTTGTTTAAATAAGTTTGAGTTTAGTCTGAGAGAGGTTTTTGTAGGACTTCATTATGCAGTATATTAAAAATAACCTGTCAGTACTGGACAGCCAACAAACTGAACATCCATTCACAGAATTGTTAACTAAATTCTGGTCATGAGCTCAAGTAATATTTCCATATATTCATCTCAATGAGCAGCCGTGGGTAGAATTAAAAGGATGAGAATTATGTCACAGTTTGATATGTATAGGTAAGAAAGAGAGTTTGTTTTTATAATTGTTAAGGAAAGGAAACAATTAGACTTGCTTTCAAATGCAATACTGTAATTGTGAGGAAATTTTTTTTTTTGTAAGCTAAACAAAACTGACACTGAAAGGTATTTTTCAAAATAAACAAAACCTCATTAATTTTTTAATTTCAGCTTCAGAAACACAAGGTCACAAACATAAGGACTAGGTTCTGAATACAATCCACAAAAAATTAAAACATATATGGGAGCCACTAAACCCTCATCTATAAATGGACAATTACCAAATCTTACTTTCTATAGAAAGATGGGTGTCCTGGGTTGAGCAGCTGCCCCCTGGGGTCTCCAAACCACCTCAATGGGATTTGCTAATACACAAATGCATAGTGCTAATTTAATAGGTTCAACCTTGAACCTTGATTTCTTTGAATATGGAAAACAACAACAGGTATGATCACGGATTATGATCCTGTGGCCAAGTTTTACCTTCACCATAGTGACAAAACAAAGGACTTTTTCCCTTACCCAAAGGGGGTCCAAACAGTCATGGGCCTCCCAGCAGAGCCTTATGAGAGTTGGGAGAACTAATGACCTCCTTCAAGCTCTCTCCAGGGTAGCCCTGTACCCACAGGGTTGCCTCCCTCACTGCCAGAGTCTGCAGCTGAGCCATGCTCAGTGTGTTGTCCACCCACCACCTTTTCAGCAGGGCTGTTACCTGACCAAAGTAGGACAAGTAGGATTAGGTATTGAACAGCAACATCTTGTCAAAGGCTGGTCAGAATATTAATACCAGAAGTGGCTTATGCATCAGGCTGGAAGTGTCAGCTTCCAGCACCACCACCTGTGTGTACACAGAGGTTGGCGTTAACAACCTGACAGAGTTCAAGAAGCATTTGGACAATGTTCTTAGGTACATGGTGTGACTCTTGGGGTTGTCCTGTGCAGGGCTAAGTTGGACTCGATGATCCTTGTGGGTCCCTTCCAACTCAGCATATTCTGTGATTCTATGAACCTGTCACCCTGATGCCGATGTATTCTCATCAGGCTCAGTCCTGTCCCAGAGCAAAGATGCCATTGGCAAACAGAAAGAGCAATAGCATCTCCCCAGTGTCACTGAAGGGGTGCCTCACAGTAAAGCCTTCCAACTTTTCCATTAAGCAGGACTTAGAAAATTCCCACTTACAAAAGGACGTAGAGATGCTTCACCAGTATGTCCACACAGGACCAACTCTCCACAGTCAGGGACAGTGCCTAAATGAAGGTAAGAAAAATTAAACACCTGCACCCTCTGCTGAAAAATAAATGAACAGGCAAGCAAAGACTAAGATACAGACACACACACACACACACTCATGGTCCCCACCCCCCTCTGAAGAAGTGTTAATCTGCCTGGTCATTAGCTGGTTTTCGAAAGACAGTAAGCTTTACTGTGTCTAAGAAAACAATAAGAAGATTCAGAGATCACCTGTTCTGTAGTCTGTATGTAGTTCTGCATAGAGATACCAAGCAGATCCTGAATGGCTGCTTAAGCTCACTGCTGTTTCAGCAGGATAATTTTTTAGACCTAATACTGTTGGTCTTCACATTACTAGAAGGCTAAAATATTTACAAGGCTTATCTAAGCCTCTTGATTTACCTCTCAATTTATGTCCTTTCATTATACTTGTACTGGAAAATCATACTCTCCTGTAATTTTTTTTTTTTTTAATAAAGCTACCTTTCCCAAACTGTTAGCCTTTACTCTTGAAGTCTCACAACCAATTGTCAAAATCCTATGTTTTCTTTACTGAATGTGAAGACAACATAATCTTCAATAGTATATCATAGCTAAATCTATTCTGCAGAGCTTAAATGAGAATTTTAGTTTTCTTCTCTCAAATACGTTTTTGAAATTCTGTTCTTAAAATTCTGCCTATATTCAATTAAACAGATTTAAGTGATCTAAGAAATTCCTCTATTAAGTTGCAGGTAGGACTCAAGAAAAATACTTCTCTGATTTTACTGTGAATTCCTGCAGGAGAAAACATGGGTAGGAGGTACTTATGAAAATCCTGAAATGCCTCTAAAATCAGTTGTGTGCTCTCAAAATTGTGTTAACCTGGAAGAGTTACTGGGGAGGTAATAACTACTGAAATAGGACAAATCCCCTGTGACTTGGTGTGTAAATACACGGCAGAACTGGACATGAAAAAAACTGAATTTTGGAGAGCACAGAGATAGAATATGAGCAGTTACAGAAAAAAGTGCAAAGTGAATCTTTTTCATTTTGTATAGGGACAGTGACAGACTCAGCTTCACTGAAGTGATGTCTTTTAGTGAGATCTTGATCCACCTCTTATTCTCCACAAAAGGGTTGGATTTTCTGATATAAAAATGCCAATTAAGGAAGAAAATTTAAAATATCAATTATTTATTGCATTTATTGGATATTTATCAATTAACTAAACATCTTTTGTAAATTTCTAAGTCAACTAGGACTGTAGCAACAGACTTGACAGTTACTATAGCATCAGCAATTATTTTTCTTTTTAAAGACTTGTTTTTAACAAGAATATGTTTGCTAACTCCTTAAAAAAAAACCCAAAACAAAACAAAACCAAAAAGAGACTATTTAAAATGTGGTCATATTTTAGGGATCTGGCTTTTATTGTTACTCTATCCCACTATATACTACCTCTATTAAAAAAGACATTAAATGATTTTGTGTTTATATTTATTGTCAGCAATACATCAGTTATGTAAAAATAACCCAGATGAAAATGTAAGACTTGTTACATTTTCACATCATCTGTATTAACTGAATAAAGCTTAGTGACAATATACACAAATTTGCAGTAGTAGTTGTACGTAAACATTTTGTGCATTAAAAAAGAAATGTACATAATTTAAAAAATAAAAATGCATTACACAATTTACAAATTAACATTAACAAAAAAAAAGGTAAACATTCCTCAGACAGCTGCCTCCTTGTTCTACAAAATAAATATTCAAGTAAATTAAATTAGGCAAAATAAACTCTTAACTTTGGGTGAGTACAATTTACATAAAGGTAAAAAGACAGATTTCCATTTAATTCAAGGTATATTTTACAGTGATTTACACATAGAATTTTTAAGTTGATCTCTTCAGATTGTAATATTGGAAAAAAAACTTTATTACATTTTGACAGGAAGAAGGGGGTTTCAAAATTGATACTTTATACCAAATATAAACAAGCTTGTGCAGTTGCATCAAAGCTTCAAAAAGGAACTGCTCCAGGACTCAAAGCAGACACAGTAATCTAGAAACTACAGTTTTAAAAAGGAAAATACAAACCACCACATCAACAGGGAAATGTCTACTTTGCTATTTTCTGAATGGTTTATTTGATCACTGGAAACATTACTTTCACAAACTAATAATCTACAGTAGTGGCTGCTTTAGGCACTGGATTTGTAGAAGCACTCTGATTTTTAAAGCAAATTGCTTTTCATTCTATACTGATAATTCACCTATTATTTATTTCTGTTTCAATGCTAGAGGGCTTAATCACCTTAGCAACTTTTAGCTTTACATAAAATTTCTGCCCTCCTTACAGCCTAATATTTTTTCATGATAATGAGGGAAGCCATTCTGGCTTCAAATCTCCATGCACTTTGTTCATAGAAAAAATAATAATAAAAATGCACTCTAGATTTTAAATGCAGCACTAGTATGATGCAGATGTGCACCAGATATTCACTGATCAGATATAAAATGTAACGCATACTAAAATACCTGCATGGATTGCAAAGGCCAAACATACTGAAAAAACCCTCCTATCTCTTTCTTTGTTTGTCCATTTTATATGGTACAAAAAAGGAGATGCCATACCTTTAATTTCAAGTTATTAAATGCTTAGATTTAGGACATAAAACTCTTCAAGGCAAGAACTAGGCAACAGCTCCTGCTAAGACCAGCCTGTATAATAAATAAAGATGACTCACTGTCAATGAAAGAAACCCTGTTCCCTCAATGCCCTATTGGTCCAAAACAATTTGATGACACAGAATCAGACTTTTAAAAGTACAGAAAACATTATTAAACTTTATTTCTCCACATGTAGTTATCGTTCTTTAAAACTTCATAACTTTTCCATGTATGTCTGACAATAGAGGAATCAACCAGGTTTTTCTTGTTTTCTACTCAAGAACGCCAAGGTAATTAAAATCATCAAGATTTCTATTTTTCCTATGGATCTTTACAAAGTGATGTAAGAGTGAAGCCCTCAGTCCTGAAATACATATATGAGTGAACCACTGCTGTGGCAGGGGGCCATGGAACTTCATCCTCTGTGCCTGGACCAAGGTATAAAATGAGAAATTAAACCTGTAACAAAGATTGTTACTATTGTTCCTCTGCTCATCCTTCCCATTTGGGGAATACTTACATAGTGGGAGGGAGGTAATTTTCTTGATTCAGTAATGCCACACTAGTAATATGTTAGCTAAGTTAAAGTAGGACCATAATCTCTCTCAAACATCCACAAAATGCTCGTTGGTTCCAGAAATTATTCTACATGAAAAAAAAGTGTGTATTTTTAAGGACAGATGTTACCTATTGACATCCATGAGAATCTTGCCATTGATTTCGGTTCATCTGGGCCAAAGTTTGCAAAGCTACAGTTTTATTCAGTGTGCAAAACCCGGTGCTTCTTGAGTAAATAGCATGATAAGTAGGCAGAAGTGGTTTAGGTTATAAAAAAGACCTGAGAACCTAATATTGAACTTTATATAACAATTATTTTTGAGAGGTTGCCTGATAGAGTTTTCTATTGCTTACTAGTGGCACAGTCACTTGTATGTTCAGGCTACACAAAGAAGCCATTTGAGGAGAATAACCCTTCTCAGGTCATGGATCACATCCGTAACAGGCATGTAGATACAAGCCAATGACCTTCATGTTGGAAGCGGTAACTCTGAAAAGCCATAAGCATGGAAGAAGTTAACAGTGAGTTTTCATACTGCCAGATTTTTTTTAAAATTTGTAAGTATTAAAATGGCAGAACTATTGATCTTATTGTTTACTTGCCAGTACACTCAAGAATTTAACTAATTAAAAGAGTCTATCCAATTATCATAATTAGAAAAGATGAAAGGGCTCTGAGTATTTCACTGTCAGCAACAGTGAAAAAGCTTTCACTAGCAAAAGGAAAGAAAAGCAAAACCATTTTATTTCAGTTGAACAATCAGAACAGCTTTTTAGACAAGAAGTATGTCACTCAGGATTACAGGGCAACCACTTTTCTTTTTCTTTTCTTCTTTTTCTAGCAAAGTTAACAAATATAAAAAATCTAGTCATAAACAGCCTTCAAAGTACAATTAGAAACCAGCAGGACAATCTATACCAGTATAGGTAGATGGGGCAAGAAACTAGACACTTGTATTACTGCCATGATGTAGACTACAATGGCTGCTGTGATGAGGAATGGTGTGTACAGTACACGTCTTTAGCCAATTCCATCCAGTCACAGTCCAAACCGAACACTACTCTCTTCAGGATTCAAGACCTGTCTACTTGACACTCCTTGCACAAGATACATCATTATCCTTTCTGAAAAGAGGCAGTTTCTATGGCAATACTAGTTAAGTGCATATCATGCTGCACTAATATAGTGCAAAAATTTGCCTTACATGTAGCAAAAAAGATGCAGGCAACAGTTTGAGTAAGAGAAAGTAGAAACGTATTGTAACATTTACAACAGGTATTCTTTTTCCAGACAGCAACCACTAGAAAATATTAAATCTGAGAATGCCTCCTTTCTGGATGTACACATGAGGCCTTTATACTTTGGAGTGGTAACAGGACAGAATTTTGCAAGTGAGTCATTGCCCTCTGAAATGCAGGTTAACACAAGTTATCATCGACTGGCAAACTCTTGAGCTTGCTCAATGGGTTGATCCCAGTTAAAAGTTAATATTGTACTAAGCACTAAAATGCTCTTTAACAAGTATATAATCAGATAGAGTAATACATATGGTTCAACTGAGTATATATGTTATGCTTGAATATAAAGAGTCATAGACAGCTTGGTACAAACTCTTCATGCGTACTGATTATACTTGGTTAATGATGCAGGGGCTTCCAACTTTCAATACTATGTCAGCTACAGTATTCTGGAGACAGAAGTGGTGCTTATAGTTTCTGAGACTGAGGAAACACCAGAGATCTCCAACTGCAGTGTCTATTAACGTGATTCTGCCAGATTTCTCAGTGCTGATGGTCTAAAGTAAAGCAATAATACCTTGAATATCCATAGGTATTATGAAATCCATTCTTCTTTATCTATGGTGCAATTACAAAAAAAGACAGAGTCAAAACACTTAATCCACTCCATAGAAAATCCCTGTGGCTTTGGACACCTTCTTATTTCAATCCAATAATTTGGACTCCATTTGTCACCATGAGAAGTTATATTTTACATGTCTGCATCTCCATCATAAGCCAAGGTTAAAGGTTTCAGTCGGTTGTTCTGCCTTCTCTGGGGCTTCTTTGGCTTTTTGCTGAAACAATAAGATAATTTATAAATAGAACAAGCAACCAATAACATACAAAGATGGACTTCAGTCATAAAGAAAAGATGAGCATGCTGATAATGCATTCGGTTGTTCACTTATAAAAGCTATAAGTCTAAAAGCTTCACTTGGATCTCTAATTATCTCTTTATCAAACCAAAGCAATATCTCACTGAAAGCTCAATTGTACAGAAAGAAGCTGTTATGGTGCTGATGTGACTTGATAAAATCCTTGGCAGGTACTTCTGCAACATCAGTCAGTTTTCAGAAGAACTCGGAGCCTGCCATGCAACATTTGGTCATATATCAAAGCTGCAATCAGGTTCTTTTAAATTACGCTATTCAGATCTTAAACCTCTCTCAACAGATCAAGGGTTTCCACAGGAAAGTTCCATCTTTTGATTGGTTTTATCTCATTATACTTGCTGGAATGACTAGAGTTGATTCTAGGTATTATAATCAAACTGATCATAAATAGCAGGAATATGGCTGTTAGCCATAACATTCCTTGTCCAGTCTTGAATTAGATTATAATTCAGCAGTATTTTCAATCATTTGATATAGTTTTAAAAACTTACCAGGCCAAAGGAAAATGAATGTTTATGCATGCTTTAGTACTTGTCTTCTTTTAGAGTGTAATATAAGCATTTCTTTATATCAGGCCTGTGGATGCTCAGTCTTGTCCAGAATCTTATCTCAGCTATGTCACTTAGGCTGCCCAAATGTGAAACTTGATTTATATTAAGCCAGTTGTTACAGTGGCTTGCAGTGGCCAAAGATTACTACTAAAAAGCAAACAAATCCAGAAGCACCCTAAATGCCCAAATGCCTACTAATGCAGTACAGCCTGATGTATATGACCACACTTCCCTCACCTTTTACCTGCACAATCATTTCGATCAGAAAATCCAAAAAAGACCTAGAAAACTTCAGGGAGCACATTTGTAAAGGTGACTTATTAAAAAAAATATCATTTCATGTATGAAAAAGACAAGAAAATTTTCAGACTTTTTTTGGTTGTGTATCTCTATAT